TGTAAAAGTGTGTGTGTGTGTGCGCGCGTCTGTGTAAAAGCGGGTATGTGTATGTGTATGTGTGTGTGTGTGAAGAGTGTGTGTGTGAATATGTGTAATTGTGAAACTTGAGATATTAAACCACATAAGTTGAGATATTAAAGCCTAAAAGTTGAAATATTCAACCTCATAAGTTGAATTAAACATGCAATGAATCCATGTGAATCCAATCCGGATCGGTCTAAATTCGATCCACATTAAATCCATTCATGTAGGTTGATTTTGGATCCGGTTCCTTTTGAATCCGATCCACATGAATCCGGATCGAATCCGGTCCAAGTTGAGAAATTGCCACCCATATATATATATATATATATATATATATATATATATATATATATATTTCAAGAATCGTAAAATATATAAAATTTACCTCAGATATGTTATGTACGAATCCAAAATTAGCATTGAGATTTTTTTGGTTTGAAATGGTAAGGTTTTAAAATTTTGAAAAACTAGTGAATACTGAATTTACTCTGTGACCTATCAATTTTTTAAATGTATTTTTTTATATATAATAAATATTGAATTTACTTTGTGATCTACCAATTTTTTTACCCTGTAAATATCATATTTCAGAAATAAAATGCATCGAATGAAGAGTTTTTTTTTTTTTTGAGGATAAAAAAATATTTCATTAGCTCATTTCCGAGCAGAGGATTGACTGAATCTTGACGGGAAGAGCATCTAAATTACATGGACCTTTCTTAGATAGTGACGCTACTTCGTGAGCTACCCGATTACCTTCTCGAAATATATGTTGGACTGTAAAAGCGGCAAAAGTCTCACTCATTTGTTTAATATCCTCAATGATATTTCCATATTCGGCTCGTGAGCTTGATCTTCCCTGGATGGTTGCAATAATCTCTTGTGAGTCACCTTCTAAAATGATCGCCGCCCAATTATTTTGACGAGTCATTTCGACAGCCAATAAAGCCGCTTTTGCCTCTGCCGATGCAGGATCCAAAGTGGATTTCAAAAACCGCGACACCCATCCTACGCATACACCCAAATTCGATCTTCCTATAGCT